TTACAATGAGGTTTTGCGGATTGATTCCTTGGCAGCTGATGGGCTAGTAAATAGGGGTAACACTTACAAGGAGATTGGTAGGGTGACTGAAGCAATTGAAGACTATATTCGTGCAATTAATATCCGTCCAAATATGGCAGAAGCCCATGCAAATCTGGCTTCCGCTTATAAAGATAGGTAATTTTCTTCATTTCCAGTTGTTTCTTTTTAATGTTCACATTCCTTAAGAGATTTTTTAGGACGGGGTTGATGTTTTATCCATAATGAGGAAAAACAAATCTGATGCATCCTGCTCTTGTCAGCATAATTTTTTATTATTATTGCATGTAAGATTTGTTGTCTTGGGCATGGAAAATGCCTTTCTATGCTATGTGATTTTGACTTGGTTTTACTTGTAAAACAGTGGACATGTGGAGGCTGCCATCAAAAGCTATAAGCAGGCACTGCATCTTCGACCAGATTTTCCCGAAGCTACTTGTAATCTCCTGCATACGTTGCAGGTATCACCATGAAGTTAAATCGAGGAAAAGAGCTATATTTACATGCATTATATATCATTTTTATGTGGTAGTACGAGTCATTTCTTGACATGCCAGTTTCGTTCAATCAAGGCATTAATCTTTTCTGGGTGATAATATTCATGCTGTATACTTCTACCAATTCTAAGAGTGATGACGAATCACGGCTTAGATTTAAATAGCTTTCTTCATTGTTTATTTTGCAAGAGTATTCCTTGGAGCCTGATCTTACTTCAAAGTAAATGGCTGGGATGGCCTTTTGTAGAGCACCATATTGAATTTGGATGAACTAATCTAATTTAATTTTATGTTTCCAGTGTGTGTGCAGCTGGGAGGATCGTGATAAAATGTTTACCGAAGTTGAGGGCATTATCCGAAGGCAGATTAAGGTGAGTATTGATATGCATGTACTTTAAGACTGGCGCAAATTCCTCGGTATTTCCTTTTTCAGAGCACCTAACTGCAATAACTCTGTTGTCTCAGATGTCAGTTCTTCCAAGTGTGCAACCTTTCCATGCCATGGCATATCCTATTGATCCGATGCTTGCCCTTGATATAAGGTATAAATATATTTTCATAGTACTGTATGTAATTTACTATAGCGACCTGCATTTTTTTTGTTAACATTTCTTCCCTTTTCTTGCAGCCGTAAATATGCTGCGCATTGCTCCATTATTGCATCTCGTTTTGCGCTTCCTCCTTTCAATCATCCTGCACCGATTCGTATTAGGATCGATGGTGGAAATGGGAGACTGAAGGTTGGTTATGTCAGCAGTGATTTTGGCAACCACCCCTTGTCACACCTCATGGGATCAGTATTTGGCATGCACAACAGAGAGAATGTTGAGGTTTTCTTTCACCTCCTTATTAATCATATTGTGATATAACACTTGGGACATGATTAAACATGATAACATGGTATTTTGCAGGTATTTTGCTATGCCTTGAGTCAAAATGATGGCACTGAATGGAGACAGCGTATCCAGTCTGAAGCAGAGCATTTTATTGATGTCTCTGCCATGTCATCTGATGTAATTGCCAAAATGATTAATGAGGATGGAATACAGATCCTTATCAACCTGAATGGTTATACCAAGGTATATTATGATCAAAATTTTCATCCTTTGAGGAACCTAATTTTATTCCCGGAGGTGCTTTATTGACTGCTGTGATATGACGAATAAAAATTCCATCCGAGTTTTTTTCTTGAATTTTTTTTTACTGGTGCCTGAATTATGCCATGCATGGTGCTATTAGTCTTTTTAGTTTTACATTTCTGAATTATCAACTTCATAAATTTGTAAACTCTAATATGAAATCATTGCCTGCTCAATGATACAGGGTGCGAGGAATGAAATTTTTGCTATGCAGCCTGCACCTATACAGGTTTCATATATGGGATTCCCTGGGACTACTGGGGCAGATTACATTGATTACTTGGTCACTGATGAGGTAGGAATCGGTGCTTTACATAAATCTTCAATGATTCTGTTGTTCTTTGTCTAACTTCATATTTGTTTGCTTTCAGTTTGTTTCGCCTTTGCAGTATTCACACATTTATTCTGAGAAGCTTGTCCATCTCCCTCATTGCTACTTTGTGAATGATTATAAGCAGGTCAGTATTTTAAACAGTGTGACAAGATAGAATCCAATCATTGTCAGTGAACTCCTATGATGTGCTAGATACTAAAGACCTAATTTTATAACACTTCACTGTTTGCAGAAAAATCGTGATGTGTTGGATCCAACCTCTCAGCACAAGCGATCTGATTATGGTCTTCCAGAAGATAAATTCATTTTTGCTTGCTTCAACCAATTGTATAAAATGGATCCTGAAATCTTCAACACTTGGTAATATGAGGATGATCTTGAAATGGGCGTAAGATTTTATATTTTTTCCATCACACTTCCCTTTTTGTTTTTACTTATTTTAAGTTGCAGGTGTAAAATTCTCAAGCGTGTACCAAATAGTGCACTCTGGCTCCTCAGATTTCCAGCTGCTGGAGAAATGAGATTGCGAGCATGTAGGTTCTAATGTTTCATGTTATTCTTATAAGAATGCAGCGTTCATAGTATTTTTTTCGTTCCTGTTGGTGATGTTAATCTTAATTTTCAGATGCTGCCGCACAAGGGGTACAGCCGGACCAAATTATTTTCACTGATGTGGCCATGAAACAAGAACATATCAGGCGCAGTGCTTTAGCTGATCTTTGTCTTGACACGTAACTATTCTTCCTCCTTTGTGTAACAGCATTGTTTTGATCTTAAGTTCAGTAATGATTGTTGTCTTATTATTCTGTATAGGCCTTTATGCAATGCACATACTACTGGCACAGATGTATTATGGGCTGGTTTGCCTATGGTGACTCTGCCTCTTGAGAAAATGGCTACTAGGGTTGCTGGATCACTTTGTCTAGCTACTGGTTGGGGGGAGGAGATGATTGTAAACAGGTAAGAGTGTTTATATATCGTTTTCCTTTTGATCACCCTTCTTGGTTGAGTCGGGTTCTTTTAGTTTACTTTTATGTAACATTATGTTGTGTAATTTCTTCCTTCACAGTATGAAGGAATATGAAGAAAAGGCAGTCGAATTGGCATTAAATAGACCAAAACTCCATGCTCTCACTAAAAAGCTCAAGGAAGTTCGTATGACTTGCCCGCTTTTCGACACAGCACGCTGGGTAAATCTTTATGTAGTAGCGTCGCTGTTATTATTTTCACAATAAATGCTTAAAAAATGGTTTAAACTTGTAAAATTAAAACATGGCATTGGCAGGTGCAAAATCTGGAGAGAGCATACTTCAAAATGTGGAATCTGTATTGCGCAGAGCAGCAGCCACAGCACTTCAAAGTCACTGAAAATGACGTTGATTTCCCATATGATAGATAGGAACAAACAGGGAATTTGTAGATGAGAATATAGGAGGAGAAAAGATTTCTAATTCAGGAAGGGAAGATTGTTTAGAGTTATTATTCGGACATGGGTTTGAGATGTACTATGCATAGATGCTGCAAGACCTTTGCATTGCCTTGAAGATGCTTAAAACAATTGGCTAAGACTTTATTAGTAGATGTAATGAAGTTCAAGTTTAGTGTGTTTATTTGCCTTTTTTTTTACTTTAATTTTCGATGAAGCCAACAATTATGAAGCAGAAAAATTGCGGTTTCTTTAATTTTCTGCGCAGTGGATAAGTGTTTGTATGTGGCTTGTCACTTGTGACTCCTTTAAAATCAAAATGTGGAAGATGCAGTGAAGAACTTCATTGAAACTTTAAAATGGTGAGTAAAATTAAACTTGAAAAATAGGATTTTATACTCAAAATGTATTCAATTTGACTCTAGTTGTAATTTTAATTTGAATATTTTAAAAATTTTAAGTTATAAAATAAGATTCAAATGATTTAAAAGTATAAATAATTTACGTTTAAATAATTAGAAAATTCATCTGAATATTTTTAAATTTTAAGTTATAAAATAAGGTTCGAAAGATTTAAAAAATTTAAATAAGTAATAAATTAATTTTTTCTAAGGTGATTATAAATAGTATTTATTTAATTTTTCAAAGAAAAATAACATTTTTTTTATTACTTAGATCATTTAATGGATTCATAATAAATTGATTTTTGAGCTTAAGTTAAATTATATACATATAGAAGATCTTGTTATACAATATTGGATAAGTTAAAATAAATGGTTGAGAATAATAGTAAGAAATGTGAAAGATATTTATTTAAAAAAAAATAGAGTCAATCTTATTTATTTATTTATTTATTTTCATTCATTCAAAGTTCTTGAATCTGATAAAAAAATGTTATAATATTATAAATATTTATATTAAGTCTAAATAATTATTTAAACAGTTAGATTTTATTTATATTTTATAAACCTCAATCAGTTCGAAAAGAAATCTGAATTATATAATAAAACTCGTGAATTGAACTAACTTAAACCTTTTTAACTCAATTGGATCAAATAGTATATCGAAAGCCAAGATAAAATAAACTTTAATCTTTGCGACACTTTTTTCCTTTAGGATTCCCCTGGAGTTTAACTGTTGCGTTCACAGCTAGCAATATTAACTCATTTGTGGTTGGGTACTTCATAGCATCAATCGTTAATTCCATGGAAACACTTGGACATTGCAGTACCAGTTACGCCCATAAAGAAGTTAATCCAACAAACTAACGCTCGAGTTATACCCTTGCTCAAAGCCCCTACGAATTGCTAGGCAAGAAGGATTCGGCACAATTGTTCTTCAAAGGGCTGCATTAAGTAAACTGATTGAAGCTCAAATGATGAAACACGATCGACAGAATGCACGAAGCAATTCTCGGTGACAGTTGTGTGTTGGAAAACTCGGCTAAATTACAAGTAAATGAATCCCGAAACAGGAACTGACCTTTTAGAAGTTAGTATCAACACTCAGCTGTCGAGTATTGTGACAATGGGATAGGCTACAATCTTCGATTCTCAATTGCGGCATCAAGCACGTCGAAGTGAAACCTCCAACTGCTCTATTCTCTTAGCCAAATCATGCTTCCCACAATTCTTTAAACCATCAGTGACCATGTCAAAACACCTTGAAATCGGTGCTAAACCCAACTCAGTCATCTCCACCAAATAATTCGCCGCCTCCACAAATCTGCCACCGCGCCCGCACATTGTTATCAGCATTGTATAGACTGGTCTGTTCGGAGAATGACCCTTGATCTTCATCTCGCTGAAAAAGCTAAACGCGTCGTCAAACTGCCCTTTCCTACACAAGCCTTTGATTATAGGTGCATACAAACTAGGGAATGGTCTATAACCTTGTTCAATTGAATTATTTAAAAGAATAAAAGCCTCGTCAATCCGACCTACTTTCGAAGCTGCAGGTATCAAGATTTTGTAAGTATTAATATCTGGACAAAACCCCAATTTACAAACACTGTGGTACATATCGATGCAGAAATCAACCTCCTCGGTTTTACAAATTGTTTCCGTCAATGAATTGAATGTTGCAACGTCAGGAACAAACCCTTCCTTAGTCATTCTCCTCACCATTTTCTTGGCTGATTCAAGATAACCTGCATTCAACAAACCTTCAATTAACAAATCTCGACCTCGAACTGGAGGATTAAACCCCTTCTTGCTCATGTCCTCCAAGAAGTCTTGTGCCTCTTTCATCTTCCCGGCAGAGCACCAACCATTCACCAGAATTGCATATGTCCTCTTGTCTGGTACCTCACCTTTCCTGATCATCCTCCGGATTAACGCATATGCTCCATGGAACATCTTCACCTCACAAAGCGCAAAGAGCAATGAATTGTAAACACTTACGGTTTGTTTGCAACCTAAATTAGTGCTTCTGTTGAAAACTTCCACAGCCTGGTCAGCAAGGCCGTTCCTCCCATACTCTTCAATGATAAAAGAGAGAGTATCACAAGAAAGGGTAAGCTGCTGCTTTTGCATTTGTTGAATGGTTTTCCACATGGATTCATACTTTCTATGGCGAATAAGGGTCTTGATGAGCTCCTCAAATTCGACAGATGTGGGGGTATAGTGGGAACGGGCCCATGAGAAGAAGCAAAGAGATTCTGTAGGTGAGTTGGAGCAGGAACGAAGTACGCGGAAGACAAGTTCTGAATTCACAGAAAGGTTCATGCGGTTAAGAGTGCGCTCTGGATGCACTTCACGACGAACAATGTTAGAAATGTGGTGGATAGCAGCAAAGTAGTCATCTTTTGAAACAGCAGTGGTGGAAAGAGATGAATCTTGGAGAGAATTTCCCGAAGTTAGGGTCCTAAGGGAACAGATAATGTTGTGTGATCTACTTCCATGTTTGAGGAGCAGTTGTATAGGCCGGAGCAGTTGTATAGGCTGGAACATTTGTGGTAGAAGCTATAGTCCAGTAACCTCCATTTCCTCCTTGATACTTGTAAAGCTACTGAGGCAACAAAGGAAAAATATGCTGCAATTTCAAAATTTTATATACTATAAGAAAGAAGAAACAGAAAATACCGACCACATGCAGCGGATCGAAAAGGAACTCAAGATGAATCAAATCATGGTAAAGAAGCTCACTCTCATCACACATTAACATACAAACAAAACAAAACAAAACAAAAACCACATTTTTAAGCTCAATCACATGAATCGTTGATTTAGTATTGTTGCCTCGTCAGACCTAGCCCTCTAGGTGAAAAGAAATAGAATTCATGCTACAATTCACCAACACCGAACCAAAGTGCAATAAAACGGAGCACTGAGCTTCAGAAAATGGAATTTCTTAAAAGCATTTCACATAAACAACTTGTTTAATATGCAGTGGTGTATGGTAAATTGAATATGTAAATTTCTTATTTCACTCCCATGTTCATTCAAATTGATCATATTTTCAAGCTTTCAGCGGGAACGCCCAGCCACTAAGCCATTGAAAAAGAATAATTAATGAAGAGAAACCAAAAACCATGAAGCAAAGAGTTCCATACTATTAAAAATAAAATAACCCAGTTTGGGAAAGCAAAGCTAGATGCTTGAAAATAAGATTTTCCAAGTAAATAACTTAATTTTATACATTAAAGATAATTACCCATTAATAAATTCATCACCTTTATTCCGTATATAACTTCCTATATCAAAGAAAGACCGAAAATCTTAATGGAAGCTTAAAGGTAGAAACTTTAAATACCCCAGCGAAGCAACAAGCTTGAAAGATGTAAGGAAAATGATAAAGAAGAAAAAGGTAACGAGAAACAAATGAAAGAAATAAAGAAACACCTTTCTGGCTGCTGGAGAATGGAGATGGACCGGTTGCAGAAATTGAGAGGGTGAAGAATTCAATTAAAATACAAAATAAAATGGAAAAAAAAATAAAACATAGTCACTAAACTATATAAAAATACTGTTTTGATCATTAAACTTTTGAAAATTATAAAATAAATTTCAACTTTGAATTTGATTATAAAACCAACACATCAATTGTTTGAGACAATGAATTATTTAATCTCTCATTATGACTAATATTTTATTTTAATATTTTTAACGATAATTTTGAAAAGTAGAAAAAAAAAAGAATATTAATTTAAAGCCTTTAGCCTGCAACTGCAAGTCCCAAGGTTAGGTTCAAATGCTCCCTTTTCCCCCTTGGCCTTGTACAATTTTAGCAAAGCCATGGAGGCATGGAGCAAGCCCCACTCTTTCACATCTTCTAACTAAAATATCAAGTCCAGGGAAGAAACAAAAGCTTAATGCTCTAATATTTTCCCAAAAGTTTATCACTCAAAGATCTCGTAAAGAATGCTATACGATAGCTCATTTCAAGCTTCATTATTTTGTAATTGTGTGTCTTTTTTGAATGTTTGTACTAGCTAACATTTGCTTTGTAGCATTTGGGTTGTAAAACGAGTATGGATTGGGTTTAGACGAGATTGGACCAGCAGGGTGAACATGTGCACATTACTATATTAGCTTAGTGGATAATATAAATGGGCTTTAGGGACTCGAGTTTGATCTAATCAGATTTGATAGAAGCAAAATCCAATAGTCATAAACTATATCGAGACCAAAATCACTACCAATGTATCAGAATCCAATAGTCATAAAAATTCCAATTAATCTATTTTTCTAAACTTTGTAAAATGCGAGGATCAAACCCTTATATAAATTAAAACATAGAGACCAAAGCCACAATTTTCCACGTATTTTCTCATGTATTTTTCTTGTAACTCTCATCAATGTCTGTCTGTCTGTTGCTAGTTTTCTTGTTTGAAATTTTCTCCTGAACATTAATGCATATGTAGATTAATTTCTTATTTTTTCCTCAGGTTTATCTCCAATCAGATAAGTTTATTAATTTTCATAAAATATGAGTATTAGGTTCTAATATATTAAAATAGAACAATTAAATATAAATCAAATTATTTCAGTGATTAAAAAATAATTGTTATCTCTAGGATTTTTGAGGTTAAGCGTACCGTATGTAAGGAATATTTGATTATTCATTATCAAATGGATTGTGAATATTTCGAATAGATACTACTTTTTTATTCACCTTATATTAATAAAAAATAAATAAAGTAATTCATTATTTTTATAAAATAAAAGAATTAAATTTTAAAAATATATACAATATTACTAGCAAAATCATAACACAATAGATAGTCTTTCTTTCTTACAATCGATAGTCTTTCTTTCTTTTTCCTTTTATTTACTTCTTTTTTCACTTTTTCCTTCTTTATTATCTACATAATGTTACTTTTATTTACTTCTTTAATTATTTATTTATTCTTCATGAGAGAAAGCAAAATAAAATATTATTTGAAAAGCAAAACAATTTATAAATTATTTATTTACTCTTCACGAAAAAGAGAAAATAATTATTTTAAAAAGAAATAAATAAATTATAATTTTGATTAAAATTATCAAATAAAGTAAAAGATAGGTGACAAAGGAGCCTTTTGGATCGATTCAGGTCGGAATACTTTCGGGTTAGGTTGATTTGAGTCGAATCGGGTCGGAATACTTTCGGGGTTAAGTTGATTTGGGTCAGATCGGGTTTGGTTTGAGTCTATAGTAAGTTAAGTCTAGTCAAATATCAAGTCGGGTCAATATCAAATTAGGTTAACTTTTTTGCCCGACAATAATTCTTTTATTTAATAGGTGTAACAATACGTTTAACCTTGAATTACGAGCCTCATTAAAAACTTCTCTAACCTAAATGAAAGAAAAGAGTGCTCCACAATAACAGAGGGGAACTAGACAAAAATTCATCACTGCAAGGTACTAACTAAATTGATAGCAGACTGCCCAATCACACAACCAGAAAGCAGAAAGCATAACCCCTACAAAGAAGATACACGCCCCGATCTGAAGTGATACCGCCAAGCTTTGAAGAATCTCTAACTTTTGAACTTGTTTTTGCAATATAATCTGTTATACTAAAACAAATCCTTGAGCAAAAAATACGAATATCACCATTCTTAAACATATTTCGATTGATTGATTGATTTTTTTTTTTGTTTGAGTCAATATCACATTAGTTGATTTTTGAGTCGGGTCAATATTGAATCATTTTGTTTTTGGGTCTGGTCAATACTATATCGGTTGATTTTCAGGTCGGATAAACCTTGGATCTTCGGGTTAAGTTGGATATGAGTCTAATTGAATATATATGTAATTATTGATATATTTTTGTAAAAAACGTCTTTTTTTTATAAATCGACATTTAGACTCAATTTCATTCAAATTCTATCATCATTTAGTGATTATACGATTTATTTAGTAAAAAATAAATTTTTTATTTATAAATTTTATTATAATTCAAAATTTTAACTATATTTATTTAAGGGAGGAGAATTGTGTAAATTTTAATTAATAATAAAATTTATAATTTTATATTTTTCACTAAGTAAATCATATCGTAAGTTTTTTGGATTAGATCAATACGAAAAATATCACAGACTCTTACACATTTTATAGATCGGGTTCAAGTAAATTATCATCGCTAAATGATGATTGAATTCGAATGAAATTGAGCATATATGATAATTATACATATACTTGATTAGACTCATACCCAACTCAACCTAAATTAACTCAAAGATTCAAGGTTTACTCGACCTGAAAATCAATTGATTTGGTATTGATCCGACCAAAAAAATAAAATGATTCGATATTGACTCAACTAAAAAATCAACCAATGTGATATTGATTCGAACCACAAATCAATCAATCCAATATTGAGCTAACCCAAAATTAACTCGATCTGATATTGACCCGGCGAGATATTTGACTATACCTAACTTACCATAGACTCAAACCAAATATTCGACTTGAATCAACCTTACTTGAAAGTGATCCGACTTGATCCTACCCAAATCAACCTGACCCGAAAGTGTTTTGATATGAATCCAATTCGAATGACTCGTTTGCCACCTCTACGTTCAGTATGAATATTTCAAATATTTTATATTATTTGATAATTTTAATCAAAATTTTAATTTATTTATTTCTTTTTAAATAATTATTTTGTCTTTTTTCGTGAAGAATAAAGAAATAATATTTTATTTTTTCCATGAAGAAAAAATAAATAATTAAAGAAATAAACAAAAATAATATTATGTAAATAACGGCGGAAGGAAAAAAAATACAAAAAGAAAGAGTCAACGGCTTGCTGTTATTTGTTAACTTTAAATTTATTTAATACACGTGGCAAGTAATTATTCGTGGGGCAAGTTAAGGGGTACAATTAAGGGGCAGAAGAATTGCGTTCGAGTGTGAGGAGGGTTAAGGCCGTAAGGCGTGTAGTCGATCCGAGCCGGAGATATGCCGACAGTGTTAAGTCCTGGTATTGTGTCAACATCGACAACGGTGACATTCGATCCAACTTGATTAGATGTGTTCCCTGGCTTGTTTAGCCCTGAAAAATACAAATATTCTGCTTCTACAAGCTTTGGGTATTTGAAGAATTTGGCGTTTACGAACACTGCAATGATTCAACATTCTTTTGGTTATATAAAAATAACGTTTATTATGATTGCAATGGTAATTCAAATCCAAGAGTGTTGCAAATTCCAATTTCACATCTGAAATGATTACGAAGAGAGAGGAGACTGGACTGGAGAGGTACATTATAAACCAGTCTGTTTATTACATGGTACTTGGCAGAATACTCTGATTTCAATAACCAAAATGCATGCAAACATCATTTGAAACAAGTGAAACGAACTCGTAGGGTTTTGATATAGCTCGTAATGTGCTTGTTAACCCGATTAGAATTTAGACTGAAGATCTTTAACCACATCCTTGTCCAACTGGAAGGCCTTGGCCAGAACATCTGGGTTGATCGATGGGTTCGAGCCAAAGGCTGCATTGGCAATGGCTATAACCCCAGCATTCTGGCTGCTGAGGCCACCAAATGCAACAGCCGCAGATTTCCCTATGTTGAACTGGAAATGAATCAAACCCATGGGGAAAACGAAAACATCTCCGGGGTTTAGGATTTTAGTGAAGAGACGGTAGTCAGGGATCGATGTAACGAAGCCGACGTAAAGTGTGCCTTGGATGACGACTAGGATCTCGGTTCCTCGAGGATGAGTGTGAGGAGGGTTAAGGCCATTTGGGGCGTAGTCGATTCGAGCTAGAGATATGCCGAGAGTGTTGAGTCCTGGTATTTCATCAACACCAACAGGGGTGATACTAATTCCAGTTGGATTAGATGTGTTCCCTGCCTTGTTTAGGCCTGAAAAGAAGAAATCATCCGCAAATGCAAGCTTTGGGTCTTTGCAGATTTTACCATTTACAAACACTGCAATGAACAAACGTTAAGAAATTATAAGCCAGAACTGAATGACGAACATTATAACATAAAGTCTTGAAAGCCCTACCTCCATCTTTGATGTCCTTGACAGCCACACAAAAGTCCTGGAGAGGACTGGGATCGGAGGCCATGGCCAATGAGCAAGCAAAAGCCAAGAGGGTGAAAGCAACAAGAAAACAATGAAATCCTTTCATTATGATATACTAGAAATACTCTTAGCTGGTTGTTTTTGCTATTGCTTTGGATCGAAGACTGAGAAACTTTGCATGGCAAACATTGCTATTTATAGATGGTAACCAAAGACCTGCAGGCCATGATTTTCCTGAGCTAGCAGGTAAGGATTGTGACAACCAACCCGCCATATACTGTCAAATAAGATCGGGGAGGTTCAGCTTCGTGTGACAAAACCTTGAGAATCCGTGGGTGTGATGCGGCGGGATAAACATGAGAGTAAGCAGCCGTTGATGAATCGGTGGTTGGTGTATGTTAAAATATGGATAAACTACTTGTTTAGTACCTAAACTATCAGTTTTGGTCTGTTTTAATATTAAAAAATTCAATTTTTTCAAAATCATACATAATATTTAGTTTTTATTTCATTTTAGTACCCATTAAAAATATAACGTTAAGTTAAAAAAATTTAAATATTTAGATACTAAAACGGACCAAAACTGATAGTTTAGGTAATAAACGTATTAAGTTTTTAATGGTGGGTACTAAAAATAAACAAAAACTAAACGTTATGTATGATTTTAAAAAAAATGAAAGTTTAAATACTAAAACATATCAAAATTGATAGCTTAAATACTAAACACATAGTTTACACTAAAATTTTTATCTACATAAAGAACTAAAAGAAATAAATAAAAGTGAGATAATCTAATATAAGTTTCATCGATCTCTTCTTCCAATCTTGAGAAAATGTATAATGAATTTCGAAATTGGGGTTAATTGGAAGGATGTCATGTCCACTCATAGGTCAACAAGTTAGATGGATATAATCAATGACGATATATTTAACTCTGAAAGATTTTGTGAATTTACCAGAGATCATATCAAAAAATTGTAATGTTATAAAGGATGTTAAATATTCCATATCTCTTTTTATATCTTCCAGAATTTCTTAAATATATGCGTCCAAAAACTTTAAATATTCCTAAAACTATCTAAATCTCCAAAGATTTTAAGGCACAAAAATAATATACAGACCAGATTTAGCAGTTTACAACAATAGGAATTGCAAACATAAGATTTGTGTGTCCTTATCCAATGGCATGCCTGTATTCTGTCTACCATGTTTTTGACTCTTCACCATTCAAGTTGAATGCAATCTTAAAGTTTCATATAAGTTTCCATATTGTCGATGCGGATTTCTTAATCTAATCACGAATTACCTAGACTTGTTTGCATCTGATGATGACTTCTGGTCTGTTTAATTCAATGAATCAAATAAATGTTTCATATACTTCTTTGCTACTTTGTTGCACAACCAAGTACTACGCAGAATTCAATTAATTGATAATTCATGAAGCAAAAATGTAATAAATTTACGTCACTCGTAATTATTTCATCATTATTGTACTAGTGTATCTTGAACATATCCGTAATCACAAATATAAATAATAGAATCAAGCCAACAATTGCTAAAGAATTCACCTATGCAATCACCCAAGCCAAGGGATTGCCCTATTATGTGTACATTTTATTATATATAGGACCATTTTTCTTTTTTCCTTTTCCCTTTCTCGACAAAGAAATTATTTCAATGAATAGAAGGGAACACGCGTTGACGCAACCAACTGGCTGTCATTTTATCGAATGATTAGTTAATAACGATTGAGCTTTTTCTTGAACGAGTTTCCACAAGGCATCCACGTGGTGCTGTTGAGTCAGAGTTGACCCGATTGCGCATCGGATGACGTAAACACCACCCGCCACTGCATGGCTCATGAAAGCTCTCCCACTTGAATTTATGGCCTCCACCAATTTCGAGTTCAATTCTCTGCCGTCATCCTCAGCCTCCGCCGCCGCCGTTGGCTTCAACCTGAAACAAACCAACGAGAACTTCCTCGGCATTACGATCTCGAACCTCCCATCTTTCCTCACTAATGCTTCGAAGTGTTTAGCCATGGCGATATCGCTTCGAATGTGGTACATCAGGTTGGCCAAACCATGTCTGCGGATCACAATCCAAAGCTTCAAAGCCCTGAACCGTCTGCTCAATGCGATCTGCCAATCTTTGTAGTCCACCACTGATTTGGTTTTACTTGCATTGTTTTTAAGATATTCAGGGTCACTTGACAATGAATCGGTTAGCAAGTGTGGTTCCTTGATCCATAAACAACAGCAATCCATGTTGGTGAGAAACCATTTATGTGGGTTCATGCTGATGGAGTTAGAAAGCTCCACTCCATCGAGATGATGGCGGAGCTCGGGGCAAATGCACGCGCTTCCTGCGTATGCTGCATCGATGTGAAGCCAAGCCTTGAATTCCATGGCTACTTTGCCTAACTCCGCGATAGGATCAACGGCTCCGGTGGGTGTTGTCCCGATGGTTGCACATAGAAATAATGGCACCAACCCTGATTTGATATCGTCTTCAACGGCGGAACGAACCGTTTCAGGTGACATTGCAAACCCTGTCGAAAATGTTGTTTTTATTAACCGAAAATTTGACGGGGGGATGCCAACTAATTTCGCAGCCTTTTGGAAAGTGAAATGCGTTTGATCCGACGCGTAAACAGCTAACTTTGTTATATGTTCCCACCCACCAAGCTCTTTCAAAGCTTTGTCTCTTGCGGCCGCCAAAACGCAAACAGCAGCCTCGCATGTACTTCCGTGCAAGACTCCGCCACCGGTTCCGGCGAACAAAAACGAAGATGGTAGCTTAAGCAATTTCCCCATCCAATCCACCACGATGGACTCGAGCTCAGTCGCTGCCGGCGATGAAATCCAGTTGAAACCAACGACATTAAAACCCGAGCAAAGCATTTCCCCGAGAAATCCAGCAGTGCTGGCATTTGCTTGGAAGTAGGCGAAGAAGTTCGGACTCTGCCAATGAGTGAGACCCGGAACGATGCAATCGTTGACATCTTTGAGTATATCTTCCAGTGATTCAGGGCAATAAGGTGCTGACTCTGGTAATCTGGCGGACAAATAACCGGGCTCAACAGTGCTTTGAACCGGGTATTTCTCAATATTCTCATAGTAATCGGCAATGAAATCAACCACTGCTTTGGACTCGTTTGTAAAACTCACTGGATCAAGGGGAAGAAATGATTCTCTTGATTCACTTCCCATTTTGTTTTCAACTCGTAAACCTTTCTTTATCTCGATGGTATTCGGTACGTTGAAGCAAGCAAGTCATGGGGGTATATATAGCAGTTTTAATGTGTGTGTTCTATTTTATTTTAAATTAAATCAAGTAAATATGTGAGTACTGTCTTATTTTATTTAGTAGAGCCGTAGAGGACCAATTATCAAAAATAGTACTATTTGGACGGCACTTTTTGTTATTTGAGGGCAGCCTATCTATAGTCCCCTCATTGTACATGTGCTTAAATTGGCTTCCTCGCCCATGTAGGGCGTTGGATTTTTTTCTTCATACGGGGCTATACCCAAATTAATTTTTGAATAAGGATGTTTGTTACAGTAATCTTATTAGTTGTCAAGTGCTCTATAGGTCATCAAGTATTTCTCGCGACAAAACATCCTCTGTTGCAGCAACTCTTCTCTCTTCCCTCACTGTTGCAGCTCTATTGGTCACCGTGTGCTCTTGGAGACTTATGGTGATCACTGTAACAATCACCATACTTAAGCAAATAATTGTTCGACTGCACTATGTGAATTTTTTTTTCATTGCATTATTCAAACACTTTTGCCGCTCAAATTTGGATAGAGAACTTATAATTTTCCGTACTAATAATGTGGTTAAATAAAAATATTTCAAATAGGATCTTTTAACAAAAGAATTATTAGTAAAATGATAAGAAGGTTTTATTTGAATTCTTTTATTTTTATGTTCGATTTTTAAATTATATTTTAATTATTTTATTTAAAAGTTATATAAAATAACTAAAAGAAGAAAATATAATTATAACTATATTGTTTTTTAAATATATATGTATTCTTAATAATTTTTCATCTGAATGGGTGCCTATTTGATTCATAACATATTATATATATATCAAGTGACTTTAATGGTTAAAAGGATAATTGGTGTCTTTAGATATCTCGTAATATATATCTATAAGAATATTTGAGCAGTTAATATCAAATGATTGATAATATTAAAATATATATTACCTTATAATTATTTTAGATTAATTAATATATTTATATATATATCAAACCGAGAAATACATATAAAATTCTTTTACTATTTAACTAATAATTATTTATTAAAATAAATTATTATATAAAACATTTTCCACGTTATAAACTTAACAAAATCTAGCTGCCGGAACCTGACATCGGTTGTCGGTTGTCACAAAGAACAAAAAAGGGGGCCAAAGTCGGTTTGCTTTTGGTTGTTGAAAATGATCTTAATAGTACACATGTTAAAGAAGTTTATTTTAATTCTTTAATTTTGTTTTACATATATATTTATATATCATCCATTTAATATAAAAAATATTAAATAATTAAAAGTATTCAAAACAGAAAATACTTTACGATCATTTTAATTTAATAAAAAAAATATATCATGAAAATAACTTCATATTATTACTTTCTACGTAACATGAGAATGTGAACTATAGGAGAATGACAACGAAAAATTGTACAAGTAACCACTCGTATTCCGGAAAGGAAATGACATGTTTTTCCTCAATACTCTTCAAACTTTGTTTCCTAATTTTATGTAGGAAATAAAACGTGCAACCTCACACGTGTAAATCAATGTCATATCAAATACAATATATATTAAAATGAAATATTGTAATATTGTTTTCATAAAAATATATGTCGAATATTATCAACCAATAATTGTTTTTTTATATATTTATATTATGTATTCATATTTTATATAATTTATGATATGAATAAAAAATAGTAGAATTTTTTTTAAATGATCTAGAGTAATTATACGACAGTGTCTCTTTAAAACTTTTAGAATTTTGTTTAACAATACATTTTATAGATACAATTGCTCGAATTTAAATATTTAAAAGAATTAATATTTTTCTATTATCAATGTCACTCTCATTGAATTTTAAAAAGTAGGGTGATTTTAAATAATAACATGATTATATAATGAAATTAACCTTTATGAAACAGAGATTGTGTCTACATATTATCAATTCAACAATATATTGATAATAAAGAGTGAAGTATTTAAAAGAAACTTTAGCCGTCTCTCAATTTTTTTTTCAAATTAAATTTATTCTAATATTTTTATGTTGTTTTTTCCCTTTAATTTTTGTATGGTCGTCGGTGATATTAATTTTAATGTTGATTATCGACTGTCGGTGATATTAATTTTAATGTTGATTATCGACTGTCGGTGATTATTAATTTTCTTGTTTTTATATCATGTTTTTTTAATCTTTTTTATTTTAAATAAAAATATTTGTCCTTATGACACATTTTCCTTTGCTCTTATGACACACATTTTCTCTACTCTTGTGGTACGATCCTTATGGTTTTTGGTATGTTTTTCGCATACCTTAGCAATCTTTTTAGTACTCGCACAAAAATTATCACGAAATTTATTTTCTGATTGGTTTGTCGATGGTCACTTATACTCAGATCCCCTCTTTGATAAAAGTTTATTTGCTGATATAATCATAATTGTTTAGCGAAACAACATGTCAGATTATTTGTTTCACTCACCACTCATTTATCACTTCGTAAAACGTCTCATTTTACAAGAGTTTTTACGAAGATTACTTACTTCATTCTCATTTGAATGTTTTGTTTTTCTTCGTATCTTTAGGATTAATATTTTATTTTTGTATGAGTAATTTGGTGACTATTGTCTCCGATTTTCTCTCTATACTTTAGTGCGTTGTAGTTCTGATTCCTTCCTTTATTAATGAAATCTAGTTGCATTGCTAAAAAAGAGAGTAAAACATTCAAATAATCTTTTGATTATATGGTATTTTTTTGATCAGATCATTACATTATAGAAACTTACAAATAACCACTAAATTAAAAAGATACAAAATGATCATTTTCATTAAAATGTCAAAAACAATATAAATAAACAAACGTATTAGATTTAAAATAGAACAAATCAGTAATGTGTAAAATTTATATAATATCCAATTATTTAAATAATTCAAGGATTTAAAGTACAAATTATAAAATTATACAGTTTTAGAGGACTTAAAATGGGTAGAGAATGTAGGTCAAACTGGCAACACATATTAATATAATCCAAACAAACAAGTTTACATAAGCTGAGGTGCATTACAAAGTAAGAACCTCTTATTTTTCACATTTCTTAAAAAATTAATGTTCCTATAAATCACAAGCTAAAACTTAAACCATGCATCACTCAGGCATTTCTCCGATCAGAAACTGGATCGAATATCATTCACCATTTTGGCGTCCAGATTAAAAGCCTTGGCAAGAATATTAGCATTAATGGAAGGCTTTGAGCCGAAGACTGCATTAGCAATGGTGATCACCCCTGGGTTTTGGCTGTTAAGACCAGCAAAGGCCACGGCATGGCTGTTCCCAATGTTGTACTGGAAGTGAATGAGACCCTCAGGGAATACAAAGGCATCTCCAGGGTATAGGACTTTAGTTATCAGACGATTATCCGGGTTCGACGTAACGAAACCGACATGGAGTGTGCCTTCGGTAACCACTAGAATCTCCGTGGCACGAGGGTGAGTGTGAGGAGGGTTGAGGCCACCTTTAGGTGCGTAGTCGATTCGAACCATGGATATCCCTAATGTGTTGAGTCCTGGTATTTGTGCAAAGTTAACTGGTGTCACAGCTGATCCAACTGAATTCGATGTGTTTTTGCGGATATGGAGCCCTGAAAAGAAGAAGTCATCTGCTTGGGCAAGCTTTGCGCCTTTGCAGACACTCCCATCGACAGAAACTGCATGAAAGCATGAAATGTTCGTGTTAACTCAGTGTGAGATTCGAATATCGATATGTGTTCAGCAAATGTGTTGAACATAGAGAGAACATACCAGAGCCCTTGGGGTCAGCTACACAGAAGTCCTGAAGAGGGCTAGGATCAGAGGCAAAGGCCGAAGACGAAGCCAAAGCCAAGATGAAAATGGCTAGGATGATTTGAAGGGCTTTCATTTTAGTATATGGTGGGTTTGTATTTCTTTAGTAGGTATGAGAAACTTTGCATGAAAGAATGGCCTTTTATAGGTTGAAGCCATTGAATTAGTCCATGGTTTTAGCATATTGTCCTTTGATTTATACCACAGCTGACAGTACATACTGAAACAAAAGAAACAAATTTTCAAAGGCCTGCATGAAAAAGCTAATAGTATAATCCATCTTCCTTCCCTTAAATAATAACATATCAAAACAAAGAGTTTTTATTTTTATTTTTCAGACATGAGATGTTTTGTCTTTTTCTTTCTAGAACTTGTTATCTTGAACCTTTGCTCCGGCAGAATTGGGTCAATTAAAGCTAATTAAACAATGGGATTCTGGCACTTTATGGATTGGAAGTGACTCCAACAGAATCTGAAATGAAAAACTGGTATTTTTCCAGTTCATTTATTTATTTACTTCGCTAAGCATCCAATTGGAGGGGCTCATGTGATAGATTCGACAAACATAGCTAATTAACAAGTGTGACATTATGGGGAAGAAACAAAAGTGACATGTGACACATAAAACTTAAGTACACATTACATAAGTCAAGCCCGAAAGGACGAAGAAGGAGACTGAAATACAGGTTAACTGGGGTTGAACAAGACACTCCATACCCAATTTTCCTAATCAGTGCATTACATTAATAAATTTTGAGCTTTTTGTTGGATGAGTTTCCACAAATTAACCACATGGTGTTGTTGAGTCAGAGTTGCTCCAATGGCGCATCGAATTACATAAATTCCACCCACCACTGCTTGACTCAAGAAAGCTCTACCACTTGAATTTATGGCCTCCACCAATTTACAGTTCAACTCTCTATCTTCATCCTCCTCCTCTATCTTGGGGTTCAACCTGAAGCAAACTAAAGCAAACTTTCTCAGCACAACGATCTCAAACCTTTCATCTTTCCTCACAAATGCTTCGAAGTGTTTAGCGATATCGCTTCGAACGTGGTACATCAGGTTATCCAGACCATGTCTACGAATCACAATCCAAAGCTTCAAAGCCCTGAATCGTCTACTTAATGCGATCTGCCAATCTT